GGACAGACAGACAGGCAAATCCAGTCAGGGGGACAGACAACGGAGACAGGGTCAGTTGAGACCCAGGAGCCAGCTGGGGCGGTGTGACACTGTCACACCTGTCATCCCAGCACTCAAGAAGGCAAAAAACATCAGGATCAAAAGGTGACCCTCAGCTACTTAGTGAGTTGGAGGCTAGCCTGGGCTACATGAAATCCTTTTTGTCTCAAAATAACTGAACAAGCCATGTGTGATGGCACACACATTTAATCCTAACTCTTGGGAGGCGTAGATAGGCAGATCTCTAAGAGTTCCAGGCCAGCCTGGTATGCATAAAAGATCCAGTCTCGACAAACAAATAAACAAACACCCACCCCAGAGTGCAGATCACCCGGGCATCATCTACCCCAAGTACACACCGTCCCGTGTTATTCCAGCTGCCGTGTCCAGTGCTTGTCCGCTTAGCTGGCTCACGGCGTTGTCCAGAGCCATGTGGTGTTTTAGAAATAGTGGTCGTATGACGCGATGGTATAGTATTAGAGCCCCGTTCCAAGGTCCCGGACTCATGCAGAATAACAGGAAGGCGCACTGTATGGGGACACACCGCTGTCACACAGGGCCCCGCCCCCCACGGGGACACACCGCTGTCACACAGGGCCCCGCCCCCCACGGGGACACACCACTGTCACACAGGGCCCCGCCCCCCACGGGGACACACCAGTCACACAGGGCCCCGCCCCCCACGGGGACACACCGCTGTCACACAGGCCTGTCCCACCACTTCTTTGCCCTTCCCCAATGGGGCTGATGGCCTGCCCACCTTGCCCGCGTAGTAGAAAGGGAACCAGAACAGGAGTAGATCGCTGAAGAATTCGACCAGGCCGAACAGAGCGTACACCACCCAGTAGGTTAGCCACACAGTGTCGTCTTCCTTGTTTGGGCTCTCGATGGCTTTGACTCTGTCCAGATGGGAACACACGTGTCTTCTTTGGTGGTCCCTGGGACCCCCAGAAGCCTCCCCACCCCTGTGGACAGCCTGTTCACTCACGAAGCATATGCGGGGTATACAAATCCGATGACATTGCACAGTAGAGAGGCCCCGTAGCCGAATAGAAGATACAGGCTTAGAAGAGCGAGGGCTCCTGTGAAGACAAAAGCAGTCTGCAACCCGCACCTCCTTCCTGGGGACACTCAGGGCAATGCGTTCCCCTGCTGTAGCATCGAACCCTCGGTCTCATGTCTGTCGTGTGTCCCCCATGGGGTGGGAGCCCGCTTTGTAGCAGGCAAGGACCTCACTCAGCTACGGGATGGGGCTCAGTTTTTGGTCAAGAGTTCTTTTTTGGTGCTGGGCAGTGGTGGAGGCAGAGAGGCGGAGGGAGGTGGATCCCTGTGAGTTCGAGACCAGCCTGGTCTACAGAGCGAGTTCCAGGACAGCCTCCAAAGCTACACGAGAAACCCTGTCTTGAAACCACCCCAAAAAGAGTTGTTTTGTTCTTCTTTGAGATAGGGTCTCAGGACGCAGTCCTGGCTGGCCTCAAACTCACGGAGCAGAGCTCATGGAGCGCAGCCTGCTTCCAGCTCCTGAGTGCTAGGATTAAATGCGTGCTCTGCCGTGGTGCTAATGTTTTTGCTGTTTTCAGACTGCATCTTGCTTTGTAGCCCAGGCTGGCCTTGGACTCCAGCTCCTTCTATCCTGGCCTCTGGAGTTCTGGGATGACAGAATACACGAGACCATTCTTGGCTATGTAGTGAGTTCAATGTCAGCCTGGGCTACGTGAGGCCATGTCTCAAGCGCCACTACCTACAAAGGCCTGGAGGGTGACACAGTTGATAAAACGCTCTCTTTCCAGCATGATGACTCGAGTGTGAACGTCCAGTGCACACCAACCAAACCAAACAACAACGGGCTTGGGTAGGGTGCCTGCTACTGCAGCCCTTGACACAGGGTGACAGACACCAGTGGATCCTTGGCCTCGCTGGACAGTCAGGGTAACTGAGGGGATGAGCTAGGAGTTCAGTGAGAGGCTATCCCTAGAGAAAGTGGAGTGTGCCAGGCCAGACGCTCAACAGGCAAAGGCACTTGCCAAGTAATCAATCAGGGCGCCTCATCTGATTGCTCCAACAACTTGATGGAAGGAGGAATCACCTCCTCCCTCCCCCTCTCATGCTGGAAACCCCCACAACAAGGTGAGTTATTCCTTGTTCTACATTTCCCCTGATCAGATCTCTGCAGGAGGATGGACTGGGCCCCTGCAGGTGCGGCTGGCACTCCTGGGCCCGGCTGTGTCTCAGTCACTCCCCCTTACCACACTCTAGGGAATGGCCTTTCACCCACTGAGACATTCTCAGAAATGAAAAGCCTGGGGCCTGGCTGCCATGGTAAACTTGATGCTAGAAAGGGTCACCAGAGAGAGCTTGGGACTTGTGGGGAAGTGCTTGGGGGACCTGGGGCTTTATCTGCTTCAGTGAAGGTCAGAGGCCAAGCAGAGCTGGGGAGGTGGGAGTGGCTTATCTTCTAGTGGGGACCTTTGCCCCGGGGAAGCCGGACTGAGACATCCCCGGCCTCCTCCCCCAGACTGCTATCTGCTGGGACACAGCTTCTGTGTCTAAGGTCAGAGTCCCTGCCCCTCCCTTCCACCTGTTCTGAGTCTTATCCTCCTGAGGCTGAAGAGGAAGGAGGGGGCCCCCAACTGGCCAGGTGACCTTCCAGTCGCTGCCTTGAGTCTAAGTTGCCTGCCTCATTTAGGGCCTGGGGGCACAGCGTGACCTTTGGAGCGGCTGAAACCTAAGAATCAGTCTCTGTTAAGGGTCCTAAAGCAGGTGGGGGATGTCACCCTGTCTCTGGCTTTGCTGGGGGAAGGGCTGTCCCAGGGTATTAGTCCCCTCAATCTCTCTAACTGCAGCCTCAGCAGGAGGAAGATAACTTCGGACACCAATCCCCACAGGGCAGGACAGGAGGCACAGGGACAGAGGGGCCGGATATGGAGATGATGAGCAGTTCTCCAACACATCCCTGACTCCTGTGCCTCAGTTTCCTTCCTAGTGACATCCAAGCTGTTCCCCTCCTGACCCCTCCCCTCCCAGGGTACTATGATGCAATTTCCCTAGTGATGTGGAAAGTCACAACAGAGGTTGCAGCCTGGACCTGGGGCTGCACAGCTGGAAAATGGACTGTCTTGGTGCTGAGTCATCCCAAAGAGGGGGACACCCTGGGATCTGGGCTCTGATACCAGCATCACCCCTACACACACACACACACACACACACACACACACACACACACACGCACGCACACGCACACGCACACGCACACACACATACACACACTGGGGTCTGGGAGCCCCACCCTCCAGCTGACAAGAATGTAAAGAACTCCTAGGATCTGTCTGGAGAAGGGGCTTCATGACCTGTGACACTAGTCTGTCACACAGAAACCCCATTGTCCTGTGATTCGGGAAGGGACCTCAGGATTAGGCTGTGGGCTTCTGAAGACACAAAAAGGGGACGCTCGAAAATCATTTTGGGAAGTCACACAGGGATCCTTACCACACTTGCAGACAGAACCTGGAACCAGTGGACCTACAATTGGGATGCTTGGGTGGTTCCCTCCCCCAGGCTCCCCACCCCCCAAGCCCCAGTGTTGGGTGCTGGGTCAGTCTTCATGTTCCAGAAATGCATGGGGTCGTTTCTTCATGAGAACATTCGAGAAGGAGTTGGGAACACGAAGGGGATTGACTGGTGGATGTGCCTTGTTTCTCCACCCACATAGGGGCCAACTTGAATACTGGAAAAACCAGACTTACAGGGGCTTGGGGCCTGGCCAGCAGCCAGGGCCCAGCGAGGAGGCAGATTTGGGACACTAGGGTGGCCTTTTCCAAAGACTTTGGAAGAGAGGCAGGCGAATTAAAGTCCCTCCTCCCTAGAATCTAGAATAAGACGCCACAGGCAGGTCAGATCCCCAGATATTGTCAGGATCCATGAGGGAACCAGTTCCCCTTCCGTGGATGGGGACTCGAGACATTTTGGTCTCCCGTTGGAGACCCAGCTGTGCTCCCCTTCCCAGGAAGAGTGAGACCCTAAAGTCATGCCTGGGTGCCTGTACCCTCATGAGGTCAGAGTCCCCAGGACCTCACGATGCCTCAACAGGGACCAGGGATACCGCACCTAGTCCTTCCTGAGTTTTCAGAGCCTCCCATAACCCATCAGACCTAAGATGTGAACCTCTCCCAAGGTGAGGCACCCAAGGCTTCAAGGTGCCCATCCGGTACGTGGGCCGTGCACCTCTCCAGGGTCGGAACAGAGGACCTCAAGGTGCCCATCGGGGACCCGCGACAAGCACCCCACTCCAGGCTCACCCGCGGCGAGATACCGCTTCTCTACTCCGGTCCTGGCTTCGAGCGCCCCGAGCGCCTCGGTGGCTACGTTCTTCTGCTCTAGAAAACGCTCGAAGCGCTGGCGCAGACCGTCCATGGTAGCGGCGGGCCCGGGTCAAGCCGCTCAAGCACACCCGCAGCCTCGCGCACCGGCCCCGCCGACGGCGCGAAGCCTTGGCCTCGGGCGCCCGGCCAGGCCCCGCCCCCTGCCCGCTGCTTTCGGACCCCAGCCCTGGCTCCGCCCCCGATCCCGGGCTCTGGCCAATGGGAGGGCAAGGCGGACAAAGGAGGTGGGGCCTGCCCCGTCTCCCCCGCCGCATGGCCCTCTGGCCAGAGCTAAGTCCGGCCCGGCCTTCAGGAGGCCGGAGGGGGCGGGGCGCCAGGCTTCCGGAGCGTTGATTGGTCAAGAGGGAGGAGCTCGATACTGATTGGACAAGCCGTAGATTATTGACGGAGAGTGATAAGGGTGGGTGGGGCTAACTGAGAAACGGGTGGGCGTGGCCGGGATAAGGCCATCGCTGATTGGACATACTGGAGAAGGCGGAGTTGATCATAAAGGAGGCGGGACTACATTGGAAGAAAACGATGCTGGTTGGAAGATGTGGAGAGGCAGGGCTGATTCTCGAAGGAGGGGCGTGGAAGAAAGTGGGCGGGACCAAATAAATGGCTGAGGGCATCCCTGCGGTCTTGAACCCGCCCCTAAAAGCCAGAAGGAGGTGTTGCCCTTGTACAAGTGGGGAAACTGAGGCTCCCGAAGGCTTAGGTCCGTGTGGACGTCTCTTCATGTGGGATAGTCCCACCCCTCATGGATGGGGGAAGAGGGAACCGCAAGGCCCCTTGGGAGTTGAAAGCTTCGGGGTTGCTATGGAGTCCGGGATGGGGTGGCTTCCTGAGGCCCCGCCCCCCGCCCCGCCCCCCGCTATGCGGCCCTCCCCGACTGCGCTGTGGCTGGGTCTGGCTTTGGCCCTCCTGGCTGTGGGGTGGGCCTCAGCCCGGGCCCCCATCTATGTCAGCAGCTGGGCCGTGCGGGTGACCAAAGGTTACCAGGAGGCTGAGCGCCTGGCACGTAAATTTGGCTTCATCAACCTGGGACAGGTGGGTGGGAGGAACCTGGATGGATGGGACATGGGTGGGGCCTGGACGACCACAGACCTGGACAGATGGGAGGGGGGGTCCCCAAGACCTCCCCGGATACGAAGAACGAACCTGTCTACGTGCCCCCTCCATATTCAGTTTGGGATTCTGCGACCCTTAATTGGGCACCTGGTTGAGGTATATAATGCCGCAGAAACTGGACTCCATCCTTGGGACTGTATCAGAGGAGCCAGGTCCCAGCGATGCCCCTGTCCATCACATCCCCAGATCTTTCCTGACGACCACTATTTCCATCTACGGCATCGGGGTGTGGCCCAGCAGTCCCTAACCCCGCACTGGGGCCACCGTCTGCGCCTGAAGAAAGAGCCCAAGGTGAGTGAGCCCAGGGCTGCCATCTCCGAAGGCCAACCAGCCACCTTCTGTCATTCTTATGAGTACCTGTAGGTGTGCCAAGTGGGGCCTGCTTGGAGAAATCATGAATGAGCATGGCACCTACCACAACGTGGCACTTGGGGGGGCGGCTCTTACTGACAGCCCCTGCCGTGCTTCTCAAGGAAAGAGGTCCTCAGGTACTGGTCCTTCCCCACTCCGAGCCGTAGGATGTAAGGAAGGGAGCTGGTCCATTTTAACAGACTAGAAAACTGTGCTGGATGTGCGAACCTGAGTCAGTGAGTGTGCCGCTGAACCAGGAGCAGAACCCAGGGCGCTTTGGCTTCTCTGGATACATCCACATTAGACCATAGGGAACAGCCCTTAGGCCGTGGTCAAAGAATGGCATGGAGTTGTGGGAGTTACCAGATACACTGAAGAGGTCACCTTCCGTATCAGGAACTGTCTTAGTCACTGTCCTACTGCTGAGACAAAAAATGCCATGACCAAGGCAACTTCTAGAAGGAAGAGCTTATTGGAGCTTACAGCGTCAGAGGGTGATTCCACAGCCACCACGTGGAGGAGCAGGGCGGCAGGCAGGCAGGCAGGCAGACAGGCACACTGGGGCAGCGGCTGAGAACTTCCACCCTCACCCACAAGGAGGAGGCAGAGAGAGCTGAGAAACTCACCTCAAAACCTCCCACTCTCCTCCCAGTGACACACCTCCAGCAAGGCCACACTTTCCTAACACAATGGGGACTGAGCATTCGAATATAAGAGTCTGTGGGACCAGACTCTCTCAAACCGACAAAGGGACTATGTGTCTTCAGAGGCCAAACCTCGTGGAGGACAAGAAGGAAGTCAAAGAGATGGGTGAAGAGAAGGAAAGTGGGGGGGGGACGACAAGAGATGAGGTGGACGGGTGGACGGACAGACCGGCCACGCCAGGCCACCCGGGAGAGCGTGGCTCATGAGGCCAAGGCGGAGGTATAAGGAGAAGGGGCTTGAGCCCGGTGAGGCTGACGTGCAAAGACAGTGCCCGAGCTCCTTCCTGCTCGCTAGTGTAGCTGAGTGAGGAGCAGGCTGACTGCGGAGGCCAGCAGTGCGATGTAGGTCGGCGATGTTGGACCAAGAGGGAGGTGACGGGCTCAGGCCCCATGGGGGCACTTGTTCAGCAAGTGCCAGTGTGCTTAAAGCAGGCAGGAAACCTCACACCTGTCATCCCTGCACGAGGGAAGCGGAGGCAGGAGGATCGGGATTTCAAGGTCATCTTCAGCTACGTGAGACCCTATCTCAGAAGACAGGGAGATGGCTGCTGCCCAGCCCTGCTGAGCTCTCCCCAGGACCCACATAGTGGAAGGAGAAAACTGGCCGCCATGGTTGCTTTTCAAAAGGTTTATTTGTATTTCTTTTGACTAAGGAGGGTTACTGTTTCTTCTGCTCGCTTGCCCTTGGGATCAGAAGAGGACACAGGATTTCCTTGGAACTTGTCCCAGGTGGTTGTGAGCTGCCATGCTGGGAATCGAACCCTGGTCCCCTGCAAGAGCAGCCATTTCTCTAGCCCCGCTATGACCTCCACATATGCCGTGGTGTGCACATGCAGAGACACAGAGAGACAGGCGAGAGGGAGGGTGTACGCATGTAAAAGTACAGGGGAGCAGTCCCGAGGGCGTGGTGAGAGCTGTGGGCTTGGAGCCAGGGGTGTCCTGACCAGGACGAGTGTCAGAAGTTGTAAGGGCTAGGAGATCTGCTCCAGCCCCACCTAGGGTTCCAAAGGTGAACTGCTTCTCAGGAACGCAGGAGGCGGAAGAGATTTCTCTGGTAACTTCTCACCCTCTGAAGGTCACGCTCTTCAATCCATGTGCTCCTTATCTCTAGCCAGGTGCAAGGTAGAGTTTTTCAGGGTCATAGAAGCAGATAAAAGTTTTACATGGGGGCCTGGAGAGATGGCTCAAAGGTTAAGAGCACTGACCCCTCTTCTAGAGGTCCTGAGTTCAATTCCCAGCAACCACGTGGTAGCTTACAACCATCTGTAATGAGATCTGGTGCCCTTTTCTGGCCTGCAGGCATACATAGAGGCAGGATGTTGCATACATAATAGATCTTTTTAAAAAAGTTTTACATGGGCTAGGCAGTGACGGTGCACGCCTTTAGTCCCAGCACTGGGGAGGCAGAGGCAGGCGGATCTCTGAGAGTTCAAGACCAGCCTGGTCTACAAGTGCGAGCTCCAGGACAGCCTCCACAGCCACAGAGAAGCCCTGTCTCGAGAGAAAAAAGAAGTCTGCAATGAGGACACCTAGCACCCTCAGAAGGCAGTATCCCTGTCGTGTTGCTAAATAAAGTCTATGACATGTTTGTCTCTGGTGACAATATTCCTCCGTGAGATGTGTGTGTCTAATGGCCTGACCCCTGGAATATGCACTGAGCTCTCACGGCATAATTCTGAGGCCCAGTATTGGAAGAAGTGGGTTTTCAAAGTGCTGCCCGGCCAGGAGTGAGAGGTGGCATACCCCTTTGATCAGCTTGTCTAAACAGTGAGTTCCAGCCAGGGCTACACAGCGCAACCCTGTCTCAAAAGAAAAACTAATGCTGTGGGAGGAGCCAGCAGGACTGGTGAGAAGGATCTAGAACGAGGAAGGAGGAAGGAGTAGGATTGGAACCAGAAGAGCCACATCCTTGGGCCTCAGCCACCTCTAAGAACACAGCCTGAGGCTCATGGAGTACTCCAAGCCAACATCCCTGTCTTAGCAAGGACCTCCACGGAGGCCCACAGCCCCCTTGCCTACACTCCGCGCCCTTGGAGGTGGTGGCTGCTCTAGCCCGTGTGCTCTGCAGGTGCAGTGGTTTGAGCAGCAGACTTTGAGGCGGCGGGTGAAGCGCTCCCTGGTGGTGCCCACAGACCCTTGGTTTTCTAAGCAGTGGTACATGGTGAGCACTTGGGATGGACTGAATGGGGGGGGTGGGGGGACAGCAGCCTGAGACCCACTGATCCTAGGTCCCTCTTTGTCATAGAACAACGAGATACAGCCAGATCTCAACATCCTGAAGGTTTGGAACCAGGGACTGACCGGCCGGGGAGTGGTGGTCTCCATCTTGGACGATGGCATTGAGAAAGATCATCCAGACCTCTGGGCTAATTACGTGAGTCTTTGGGCTAGAGAAATGGCTCCGTGGTTAAGAGCAATGCCCTCTTCTTCCAGAGGTCTTGAGTTCAATTTCCAACACCCACGTGGTGGCTCACAACCATCCGGAATAAGATCCGGTGCCCTCTTCTGGCCTGCAGGTGTACATGCAGGCAGAACACTGTATACATAACAAATAAATCTTTTAAAAAATTATGTGAGTCCTCCCAGGAGCGGGATAGCAGGGCAAGTCCCCAGATCTAGGAGGGCTCACCTCATTCCCATCTTTCTTTCCCCGCCTACCCTCCAGGACCCTCTGGCCAGCTATGACTTCAATGACTATGACCCAGATCCCCAGCCTCGCTATACACCCAGCGATGAGAACCGGTGAGCCAGGCGCTGCTGTACCAGGTGTTCCCAGGCCTGCAGAAATGCCATGGCTGCTGGGACCCATGGATGCTTTCCTCCTTGCCCTGGAATTAGGCATGGGACCCGCTGCGCTGGGGAGGTGTCTGCCACAGCTAACAACGGCTTCTGTGGTGCTGGTGTGGCCTTCAACGCCAGAATTGGAGGTACCAGGGATGGAGGTTGTAGGGTGTGAGCATAGCTTGACCAATGGAGAAACACCACCCCAACCCCTTCCCCATTCCCTCCACTGATTCCTGGGCAGTGCTAGGCCCCAGGCTGAGGGTGACTGAAAGGTGGCCGGGAGGTGGCCTAGCAGGGCAACCAATGTTGGTGCTGGCAAGGCCCACGACCACCCGCGCAGGCGTACGCATGCTGGATGGAACCATCACCGACATCGTGGAGGCGCAGTCCCTCAGCCTGCAGCCGCAACACATCCACATCTATAGCGCCAGTTGGGGGCCCGAGGATGACGGTCGCACGGTGGACGGACCGGGTATCCTCACTCGGGAGGCCTTCAGGCGTGGCGTGACCAAGGTGCACAGGGAGCGCACCCTTGGTGGAGGGTACCCGACCCTGAAGTTGGAGGGCTGACTCTGTTCTCCTGGGTCACTCCCCACCCAGGGCCGCCAAGGGCTGGGCACACTGTTCATCTGGGCCTCGGGAAACGGTGGCCTCCATTACGACAACTGCAATTGTGACGGCTACACCAACAGCATCCACACGCTATCAGTGGGCAGCACCACGCGGCAGGGCCGAGTTCCCTGGTACAGCGAGGCCTGCGCCTCCACGTTCACCACCACCTTCAGCAGCGGAGTGGCCACCGACCCACAGATCGTGAGCACCACGCCCTCACCACAGGCCCCGCCCCCGCAGGGACCTCACCAGGCCCCGCCTCCTCGTGCCCCGCCCCCAGGCTTCAATCAGACAGAGACCCCCCATCCCTCCAGATCCAGATCCCCAAGCAAGTCCCACTCCACAAGACGTGGCCCACACTGGCTCTGCCCTTCCTGCTCGTGCTCACAGCCTCTCCGACCCCAGTCCAAACCTAGAGGCAACCATGTCGGCTCACTTGGCCACTCCCTCTGCCTCCCTGGACAAGATCCGCGCCAATGCCCGGCTACCTGTGTCCTCCTGCGTCTACCTGGAGCCCCTTGCCTCTGCTGGGGCTGGCCCCGAGGTCGTGCCTCGCCCCCCTGCGCCACCAGCTCCCAGGTCTCCTACCCCACATGTGACACATGGGGTCTGGGCAGTTGTGGCTCCTTGTCCCTCAGCACTTCTGTCCCCCAGATAGGAACTAAGTATCAAGGCTCAGGCGCTTGCTGAGACTGAGCTCGGAATCTTGGCACTTTGTTTGTTTTTTCTCGATAGGGTTTCTCTGTGTAGCTCTGGCTGTCCTGGAACTCTCTCTGTAGACCAGGCTGGCCCCAAACTCAGAGATCCGTCTGCCTGTGCCTTCCGAGTGCTGGGATTAAAGGCGTGCGCCACCACGGCCAGCTGGTCTTGGCACTTTTTAGATGTAGGGCCCTTTGTCATTTTGAACTCAGTGCTCAGTGGTTTTGGAACCTAGTCCGTAGCAGTTTTAAATCTTGGCCACTAGTCATTGTTGACTAAGTACTTGCTAAACTTAGTCGTTTGTGTTCACCATGTAGACCAGGCAGCCTAGGAGTCACAACCACTCCTGTCTTGCCCCACGAGTGCTGGGATTGAACTCCTGCATCAGCAGGCCTGGGACTTCCAGTACCTTGGAGCTTAGTCCTCAGCGTCTTCACACTTAGCTTGATCTTCAGCCCTTAGGAACCTAGTACCTAGTACCTTCCCTACAAGTCCTCCATCTGGGCCACGCACTGTGCTCAAGAGCCTTCTGCTGTCTGTCCCCAGGTCACCACGGACCTGCACCACCAGTGCACCGACAAGCACACGGGCACCTCGGCCTCCGCTCCGCTGGCCGCTGGCATGATCGCCCTGGCTCTGGAGGCCAAGTAGGTGACCGTGGGGCCCCGCCCACCGCCCCGCCCCCACGGGCGGCGCCCGGCTCACCCGCCCTCGCCCCCCCAGCCCGCTCCTGACCTGGAGGGACCTACAGCACCTGGTGGTCCGCGCGTCCAGGCCGGCGCAGCTGCAGGCGGAGGACTGGAGGATCAACGGCGTGGGGCGCCAAGGTGCGGCGGGGCCAGGCAGGGGACCGGGTTGCCGTGCACGCAGGGCGAGTGACAGCTACCTCTCCCGCGCAGTGAGTCACCACTACGGCTACGGGCTGCTGGACGCGGGGCTGCTGGTGGACCTGGCTCGCGTGTGGCTGCCCACGCAGCCTCAGAAGAAATGTGCCATTCGGGTGGTGCACACCCCCACGTGAGGGAGGCCCCGCCCCCACCCCGCCCCACCGGGGAGGGCCCCAGTCACGCCCACTGGAGGAAGGCCCCGCCCACACCCCAGGAGGCAGGTCCAGGTCTCCGCCCAGCACGTTGTTGCAGCCTCCCTCCTCCCCTACCTCCCCACTCTAGTCCAAGGTAGGAAGATGCCCCGAGGCCTCAGTTTACCCATCTGAGGAAGGAGAGTGCCCTTAGGCCCTTGGACCCCCCCCAGGCCCGCCTCCCGGCGCCACCCGGCCCACTGCAGGCCCATAGGATCATCCTCACCTTACCAGCCCCATCCTGCCTCGGATGCTGGTGTCGAAGAACGTGTCTGCGTGCTCCGATGGCTCGCACCGCCTCATCCGCTCGCTCGAGCACGTGCAAGTCCAGTTGTCACTCTCCTACAGCCGCCGCGGGGACCTGGAGATCTCCCTCACCAGCCCTATGGGGACACGCTCCACGCTCGTGGCCATCAGGTGTGACATCCTCCCAAGGGGCCCCGTGGGCGAGTGGAGCCCTGCCCGGCCTCCTGCAGGTGGTCCCCTGCGCGGGTGGGACTCAGAAGACACGTGTTAGGCGCCACCCATCCTGTCTCCTGTGCCACCCGCCGGCCACAGACCCTTGGATATCAGCGGCCAAGGCTACAACAACTGGATCTTCATGTCCACCCACTACTGGGATGAGGACCCGCAGGGCCTGTGGACCCTGGGCCTGGAGAACAAGGGCTACTATTTTAACACAGGTGAGAGAGCTGGCTGTGGCTGCCGGGCTGGGGACCCTGCTTTAGTTGACCCACAGCCACGGGTCCCAGGGGTTTTCTTGGAGAGACCATGCAATAATTACTTTAGCACACAGTAGAGGTTGTTGAGGTTGGGTCTCAGCCACCTGTGCACAGTAGGTGTTCAGTTATGAGGTAACGTGAGAGAGAGAGGATCTGGCCGCTGGCACACATGGGGGAAGTGGGGAACTGGCCATTGGTGCATAGTAGGTTACCTGAAGGAAGTTGATGGGGGGTTCTGCACAGTGGCACACAGTAGGTGCAGTCACCTGAGGAAAGGAGGGGAGTCTGGCCGTTGGTACACAGTTGGTGTGCAACAAACTGGGGTGGTCTAGCCAGTGATAAATAATAAGGTATTGACTGCCTGAGGGATATGACGAAACCTGGCCACTAGCACACAGTAGGGGCGTATACCGGGAAGCTGGGGGGAATGGCCACTAGCACACAGTAGGGGTGTAGACCGGGAAGCTGGGGAGAATGGCCACTAGCACACAGTAGGGGAGGTACCGGGAAGCTGGGTGCAGTTGTAGCACACAGTAGGGGAGGTACCGGGAAGCTGGGTGTAGTTGTCCTGAGGAAGTGGGGCCTCCAGTCACTGGCACAGTGGATGAGTAGCAGCCAGGCTCAGTTGATTTGGGGCCCTGGGTGGGAGCCGCTAAGGCTGCCTACAGGGCCTGGCAGGCCACCGACAGCCTGTCCCCTCGGTGCCCACCGCGACCCCTGCCCAGGAACTCTGTACTACTACACACTGTTGCTGTACGGGACGGCCGAGGACATGACAGCGCGGCCCCAGGGCCCCCAGGTGACCAGCCGCGCGTGTGTGCAGAGGGACACAGAGGGGCTGTGCCAGGGTGAGTGGCCGCAGCGCATGGTCACTTGTCGGGGGAGGAGGCGCAGCGGCCCGGGATGGGTGGGCGGGCACTGGCTGCTCCCTCCTGCTGCAGCCTTACCTCCATTTCCATTCTGGCCCTCAACAGAAAGTCACAGCTGTCCCCATGCAGAAAGTCACATCCTGGCCAGGCTCTGCCTCGTCCCCAGCCGGCAGTGATGGCTCTACAGCCAAACAGAGCAGCCAGTGACCCAGGGACAGGCCAGCTGTCACCCTCCTGTCACACCTGCTGGGCCAGCTTGACCAGTGACTACACTGCCTGTCCCCGTCCCTCGTGCTGGGCAAGCTCCAGGGCTCCTCCAAGGCCTGCCATCTCGGGCGGCCACCCCGGCTACCAGTCCCGGGCCGTGGTGCTGGCCCCGCTGGCCAGGACCTTCAGGAGACCCCTCTCGGCTTGAGGAGGGCCCACCCCCTTAGGCTAGACACCCCAATGCCCGAGACCCTGAAGGCTGGGGAGCCAGAGATGCCGGATTGGAAGGGCGGTACCCCAGGGACCCCAGGCTGGGATAGGACCCTGCCTGCCCCAGAAGGCCTTGGCAGGCTATCGGCGGCCACTGCATGGGCCTCGGCTACTCCCAGTGGGAGATGTGTCTCTGCTTATTTTGGAGCAGGGCAAGGGTGTGGTGGGCAGAGGTCAGACCACAGCCACCAACCATCTGTCCCTTCCCTGCCCCAGAGCTGTCCACAAGCCCCGTGTCTGACCTCATAGTTGGTAAATAAAAGTTAAATAGAAGATGTCACGTTTGTGGTGTCCTTCAGGGCAGGGTGTGGACTAGAGATCCCTGGTAGGGGCCCACTGCCCACCAGTGTGGGATTCCAGGAGCCCACAGACACCGTGATCACAGGTGTGTGGTAATCACCCTTTCCTTTTTTTTTTTTTTTTTTTTTTTTTTTTGTGGTGGTGGTGGTTTTGCCAGACAGGGTTTCTCCTGACTGTCCGGGGACTCGATCTGCAGACCAGGCTGGCCTTGGACTCACTGAGATCCACCTGCCTCTGCCCACCACTCAGGACAAGGAAGCACGGCTCCTGGAATGTGTTATCCTGTGTTTAGGCACCATCCAGCATCTATTAAGCGCCCACTGTGTACCTGGCAATGATTAGACACTGACTCCTAGTTGCTACCCGGGCAGGGGGACTCGAACTCACGCTCCCCACGCGTGGTCAGGGAGGCTGAGATCCCTTTGATCCATTTGGATTGACTCCTAGGAACCTCTAGAGCTAGGGCTCTTTATGACAGAGGAGGGGTTTCGCGAAGAGCGGAGCTTGAGTGGACCGGAAGTGCATAACCGAGCGGCTTTCAAACCGGAAGCGGAAGTTGTGGCGGCCGTACAGGTTCTTGGAGCTGAGATAGGCTGTTGGGATTTCTGGGGACAAACTGAGGCCGAGTGTGAGCCAAACTAAGACCCTGAGAGAAGGGAAGGCGAGACCGGGGTGGGCCTCGGCGCGGGGACGTAACGCGTGCGTGGAAGCTCGCGGGGTGGGGAAGCCAAGGAGGAGCGGACCTGCAGTAGCGCGCGCTCCGCCGTACGATGGGCTCCAAGGGCAAGAAACGCGTGGTGCTGCCCACGCGCCCCGCACCTCCCACAGTGGAGCAGATCCTGGAGGACGTGCGAGGGGCGCCCGCCCACGATCCTGTCTTCACCGCCCTGGCCCCCGAAGGTAGGAGGACCGCTGTTGCCGCCACGCCCCTAGGGACCAACGTTTTCCGTCACCGGCCCGCTCTGACTCAAGTGCGATCCTCAAAAGCAAAGCTGAGGGGCCGCGAGCTTGGGAACCTCAACCAACCCAGGAGTCTGGGGCAGGAGAATTGCTGAGTTCAAGACCTTGTCTCAAAGGGAAAAAGAAAAAAGCCCAGTGCCCCGTGGCTCCTAAATGGAAATCTGGGAAAACGATACGTGAAGGAGTCCTGCCCTAGAATCCAGGAACCTCGGCAGTCCTGGATGGGACAGCAAGGCCAGGGTAGCTGGAGGGGTCCTGTCCTCTTGGTGACCCCCAGACCCTGGGATGTGACTGTCTTCTAGGGTTTAGACAGGTCTGGTGTAGCCCGGGCCGACCTCCAACCCCGATCTCCCAGTCCTTGCTGGCCTGTGGGTGGTGACACTGTTTCTCCTCTCCAGACCTTCCAGATCCATCCCTAAGAGCCGAGGACCCCGAAGCCCAGCACGAGCAGATCTACCAGCAGAGCCGGGCCTACGTGGCCATGAACGAGAGGCTGCTGCAGGCAAAGGAACCTCTAAGGCAGAAGTTCGAGGACCTCCGGCAGGCTGGCCAGAGGCTAGAGCAGGATGTCAGCCAGGTGACCTCAGCCACCTCCTAGAGCCAGGGACACCTGAGGCCCTCGGTCTAGGGCCAGGCACCCTGGCTGTCTCCTGGAGGATCCGGGTCAACATCTGCTGCCCAGCATTGGACTGAGGGGTCCCAGTGGCTTTGGGTCTTGGTTCCTTCTTCCATACTTGGTGGCCTCTAATTCGTGGTGGGGCTTAGGGATGTGGCCACCTCCTTATTCACAGGGGCACTTGGCCTGGATTGCATCTAAGACTTGGCTGGAGGTTGGGGCTCAGAGCCAGCCTGCCTCAGGGTGACAGCCCTCCACCTCTGTGCTCTGGTCCTACAGGGTCCCGTGGGCTTCCCTGCTCTTTGGTCCCATCTCTCTGGGGCTGGAGGACCTCAGCAAGGGGGTTTGGTGCTGGGGGGTCCAGGGGTACAGGAAGAACCCAAAGGCAGGGGGACCCTGCAGGGGTCTCTGCAGTCACCCTGTCATGCAAGCTCAGCTGGGCACCCACAGGACTCTGGGGTGGTGGACCTGGGGTTCCGTTGGCCTTGCTGAAGACCCCTCCTGAGTGGATAGTGTTTATTTCTGGGACATCAGATGGAGACTTGACTCCGACTCACTGGGACCCAAGTCCACGCCAGCCCTTCACACCGTTGGACACCCCACACGCCTTCTCATGCTCCAAGCTGGCTGGCAGTGTGTCAGAATGGCCTTGGCTTGTGGTCAACTTAGTCCTGCCATTCCCCATTCGCAGTAGTCACAGAGACCTGTTTACTCTGCGTTTCCCGGTCCCCAGCTCCACAAGTGGCCAGTGGCCGTTGTCTGCGAGCAGATGGCCATGTATGGCTTGGCTGACCCTGAATTGACCTCGGCTGTAGCATGCAGAGGAGACCTGATGCAGTTGTCCAGGCTGTGGGGAGCTCGGGTCCATGCACCAATGCCTTGTGGGGTTGGACTGTAGCTGCAGTAGAATGTTCTCGAATGACCTCCCCCCTCCAGAGCCCATGTTGAAGATTAAAGCCTTGGGCGCCCCAGAGCAACTCAGTGACTCACTTTATTAAAGATGTGAATGAGAACCAGAAGCCAGGCTGGGCGTCCTGCGGGTATCTACATGGGGCTGGGGTCAGTATGTCAGAAATGTTAACCCTGTAGGGCAGGACAGAGATGGGGCAGCAGCAGAGGACAAGCCAACCAGGTGTGAGAAGGGGATGGCACTGGCTGTAGGACGGCGGCAGGCGGGACAGGAGGTGAGGCAACTCGTGGGCGTGTTGCCCGGTTCGAGCACGCAGTGGCTCATCTCCAGGGAACCACTGGTCTCCGGCTCAGGTACCCGCAGCCGCTGCAGCCCGGGCGACAGCGGACTCCTCCCCTTCCATCTCTAAGGACACTCCAGGGGAAGGCTGGCCTCCTGGCTTCGGTCACCCTTCCAGAAGCCTCTGTCCCAGGCCAGCTCTTACCTACCCTGGTCTGGGTGTTCTGTGGCTTGTGTCCCCACTGCGTGGGGTAGAAAAGGCAAACATGGCCGCTGGGTCCGGCGACAGGACAGAAGGGGGCGACCAGAGAGTGATGGTCCTCTCCCTGCTCCGCTTCGAATCCTCCCACGGCCCACGTGGGGAAACCGAGGCACAGAGCAGCATGTGTACCACCTAGGGTCTCACAGTGCGTCATTTACAGGTTCACTCTGCAGAGGATGAAGGTCCCCTCTCCAGCCCCAGTAGGATATCTGTCTAGTGCTGTGTCCCCTCCGCGGGGGCATCCTGGGGTGCACGGTAGGTATGAATTGCGTCCTCATGACTCCGTCATTCTCCTTAGGCCAGCGGGCCCTTGGAGCTCTGCCAGAGCCCTGTCCAGCAGCCATGGAGTTGAACAGCTGGTACCTGGTGTTCCTGCTTTGGTGAGGGGGCAGAGGCCTGGGCAAGGGAAGCACCAGGCATCTCTGGGACTGTGGCATTTCAAAGCACTGGACAGATGTCAGGGTGCATGTTAAGTTGCACAGCTCTGTAGAGTCAGTCCTGGTGGTGTCCCCTGGTTGTCACTGTCCACTCACAAAGGCAATCGTGGATCTGCCGGCTCCCCTGCCGTAAACGGCCTGGTGGAAGGGGCAGTGGTACCTCCCACCTTGTCCTCAGAGCCCCTTCCCTCATCTCAGCAGGGGCTTGAGGCCAGCTCAAGGGTGGTGTCCTTCTCCAGGAACAGCTCCTGCAGGCGGCCATGGCTGCGTGTCCCTTTGCAGAGAGCAGCCCAGGGTCCCACAGGAAAGCGTGCTGAGCTGAGACCCAAGACGCAGGTCCTCAAAGGGCCTTGCACCTCGCCGCCACCAGTCCCCACGCTGCCTGCAGGCTGTGGGTGCGCCAGGGACGAGGATGCGGACATTCCCTGCATCACACGCAAGCAGGACGCTGGCAAGGGCCCGGCTCCCACGGATGGTCCGTCTCCTCCCTACGCTGCTGCTGCTCATCCACTCCCCAAGGACGCCGGCTGCCTGGCCTACTCTCCCTCCCTCACCCCAGAGCCCGTTCAGCTTGTCCTCGGAACTAGAATCCCTCCTGTCCCATGGGCCAGCAGCTCCCTGGCATTTGTGCCAGGAGGACCGTTCACCCTCAGCGGTCTCAGGCCGTGATGAACGCTCAGGGAGCAGCTTGACTACACTCAGCTGTGGCTGCGAAGGCAAACACGCCTGCAGAGTCCTCATTAACCAATTACCCCAGCACTAATTACAGGCTTCGTGGTGCAGGGCTGAGGTTGAGGCAGCGCCAGCTGTCAGGAGCCTCCCCACCCTCCCCACAGCCTGCCCTACCTTGGAGGCAAAGGCAGCCACCTACCTAGAGGCCGTGCCACACCCCCGTGTGCAGCCCAGGGCGGGTCTTGCATGGTGCCTGCAGCTAGTGCCCCTCAAAGCTTGGCTCTCCGTCCCCTTCCCATCAGAAAATGATGCCATGTGCCCTGCAGCCTGTCTGTAGCCGTTTGCCTGGCGCCCCAGGCACAGAAGCAAGAGCTGGCTCTAAGGTGTGGAGATGGGAGCTGGACAGGAGCTCTGAGGGCATAGATGTGCTGGCTCGGAGCATCTGGAGAGCAAGCCTGCAGGGCTGCCAGACTGGGCCACAGGGCAGAGAACGTTCCAGAAGGTTGGTCTACACCCACTACTCCAGGAGGCTGGCTGGAGAGGAGACAGGGGCTTTCTGCAATGCAGAGTCACTGGCCGCTGTGGCCACCACCATAGGACTGGGCACGTAGTTGAAGGGGGAAACTCGTGCAGCCCTGCTCGGGGAACCGTGCCTGCTGGTGGGAAACCCTCCCATGACAACACTCGGGCCCTCGTGGGTGAAGGGCGCTGAGGCAGCTGGCTTGCTGAGGACTGGTCCGTCCACATCACTGCCCAATGAAGTGACAGGGCCGCCGGGCTGGGCCCGTGGGGGCTCCCTGCTCTCCAGGCTGGGCGACGTGCTGGAGTTGGTCTTAGAGGTAGCCACATCCTCTGTCTGTACCACTGCGTCACTGGTCTTGCGTGGCGGAGTCCCAGCAGGGCTACCCTCGGGCGATGGACCCCTGAGAGGCAGGGCGGTGGCGGGCAGTGTGCTACGCAGTATGTGGGGGACATCTTCATCCTTGATTCGTCGCCAGGTGGTACCTGGCGCAGCTACCCTGGGCAGTGGCCTGGCCTCTCCATCACTTCCCCGGCGAGAGGCGTTAACCTGGGGAGCGGCTACAGAGGCAGCACCATCTGGCCTGCGTGCAACACTGATGTGTGGCAGGGATGCATAGCGCTTGACTGCCTCAGGCCGCCCCGGCGGTGCCCGCACAGGCAGGCGTGAGGGGCTCTCAGAGCTGGTGCGCCTGGGCGCACGCGGAGCAAGACCTGGCTTGGCCTGCGGGGACCTCTGTGGCGTCAGAGGCTGCCGTGGGGACACCCGCAACTCATCGCAGCGAGAGGAGCAGAGGAAGACAGCAGGGAGTGCCGGCCGTCCACGGCGGGGAGAGGCGGCCTGCGAGGTGGGGGTCGTGGAGTCTGCAGAGGACAGCTCCGACCTGCGGCGACGAAGGAGGCCCGGGGATTCCTTGATGAAGGTCAGCTGCCTGCGGAAGCCCGAGCGCTCTGAGGACTCGCTGCCGCTGGAACGGGCTGAGGCCATACGCACTAGGCCCAGGCGGCCTCCACGAACCCCAGGAGCCCCCTCAGCCCCAGCTCTGCCCCTGGATCCAGGCTCTGGGGATGGCCTAGCCAGTGGTGGTGGCCCTCGCTTGGCTGGTCTTTGCATGAACGGGATCCGCACAGGTGACTTCTGAGTCTTGTGTTGCTTAGCCAGGAGGGCCCGGGCCGGTGACTTGGGCACTGGAGACCCTCCAGGGCCAGGCAGAGGCCCTGCAGTTGGAGTGGCCAGAGGGGACCTCCTAGGCAGGGGCTGGGACGCTGGTGAAGTCTGTGACGAGCTTGAGGATGGAGTCTTGGCGAGGCGGGCAGGGGGCGTCGCGCTCCTGGGTGGGTGACTCAAGGCTGCCAGCTCCGAGATCTTACCTGGCCGGTGGAGGCTCCGTGAACGCTGTTGCCCAGGGCTGGGAGCTTTGGTGGCAGTTTCTGGCTGAGTGGTACCAGATGTCCCCATCTTCTTAGGTGTGGCACAAGGGCCAGAAACTCCTTTGGACTGAGCCCGGGAGGCTGGGCTGGCTGTGTAGATCACCGTCCGTCCCCGGAGCATGGCTGGTTCCCCTGCCACCACTTTCTGGGTACCTTTTGCCTTCTCGGAGCCACTAGGAAATCGCGCACTCCCACTGATCTTGGTGGAAGTTGCACCCCGTTTCTCTGGACGCCAGGTACCCCCAGATTCAGCCCCAGATTTTCGTGCTTTCCTGTGTTTGGAGGACTGCAACGTGGAGCCTGCTGAGAGCCCAGACACCAGAGACAAGAGGGAGTCAGACTCAGAAGACGCCTCCAGGCTGGCCTTGGCTGCCGCCTGGTGCAGCCATGTAACGATGGAGTTTGCACCCTCTTGGATGGCCTGCCACTCAACACTGTCTAAATCAGACGCCGGGTCAGAGCCAGGCGCCTCCTCGCGGCACTTCCGAGGCACCTCAGTGGGCCGCACATCAGACCGGGCAGCTCTGGGTTTGCGGCGCCGAGATCCAGGTACCTGGGTCCGGCGCCTGGGCAGGGCTAAGCTGATACATCGCTGTAATAGCTCCTCCTCTGCCCTTGGGCTAGGAGATCTGTCCCGGTTACTGCCTGGGCCTGGGTCCTTGGTGGTTGCCTGCCCCCGGCCTGCGGGATGGCTGAATGGCTGTTCAGAGGTCTCAGGCTCGCTGAGGGAGCTCGCTGAGGAATAGCAGGGTGGGGTCTCATCCACAATCAGTCTGGGCTGCACCCTCACAGGTGGTGTGACAGGCTGTGACACCCTGGATGGGGCCTCCTTTCTACCTGTGGGTTTCTCACGCTTCAGAGCCCGTGGGATGGCAGACATCTGCCGGGGGGGTGGTGCTGTGGCTGGTGGCTCCTCGTCAGAGTCGTAGAAGCAGTACACAGCTTCCTCTGTGGGCGTGGTGAGGCACAGCGACTGCAGGGCACCGTCCCCGCGGGTCCGGGTCTGGCACGAGCCATCTCTGTTGGATCGGGCACTCTGGGGCCTGCTGAGGGGTAATTCTAAGCCTGCTCGGCTCCTACTGGCCCCTCGGGCGTGCTCTGTACTCTTGCCAGCGCCCGCCGTCTTGGGTCGGTGCCCACGGGTCTGCCTGGAAGGGGCGGCTCGGCCTGTGGGTCTCTGCCTTTCTCCAGGCCCTCCTGGCTTGTCCCTGGAGGGTCCCTGTAAGGTCTCATCACTGAGGGACGCAGCACTGGAGAAGTTGACAGGTGTGCCCTCTGCCGAGTCAGTGCCAGAGTCGTCATTCCGAGCCGGGGCTGGCACTAACATGTACACGGGGACCGGCAGTGCCCGGCGGCCAGGCACCAGGGCAGAGGCCACCTTGCGGAGCCGGGCGGGCATTGCTGCCCCCAGACATTCACGAAGCGCCTCTAGGTCTTTATCAGTCGCTGACCGAGCCCGAGAACTAGCGGGTGCTGGGCCATCTAGGCGGCCGGCGGCCTCGTCCCTCCGGCGGTGTCCCCCACCACCCCCTGCATGTTCTGGGCAGGCTGGTGGCCTCAGGCAGAGCTCCACGTCCTGCTGGACGTACAGCTCGTGCAGGGCCAGCGCACTCAGGCTGGAGGCACAGGAGAAGTTCTCGTCTGGCTTCTCCACCGTGAAGCGGACACTGCCTGCATCGAGCTCCGAGGGCGGCTGGCACCGCTCCCGGCAGTCCGCGATGTCTAGGAAGCGCTTCACATAGCTCTCCCACTGCAGACTGAACTGGCTGGCTTCAGGCTGGCCGGCAGGCGCTGGTGGCGTCTTGCTGCGGCTCGGCGGCATCGTCTGCCCGGGGCTATCGGGCAGCTCGCTGGGACTCACGGTGCCACTGCCCAGCCCACTGCACGGGTCGCTGGGGACGGAGCTGGCGATGGAGCGGCTCTCGAAGCTGCCCAGAGAACTGACAGAACTGCAGCGGCTCAGGACCAACGGTGTCTCCTGGACGCAGTTCTCAGACGAGCTGGACGGCGTCGCATCCTCCACCCCAAGACCTGCACTGCGGCCCCGGTGGGAGGCTGGGATGGACACAGGTAGAGAGGCGGACCCAGACGCTCGCCACACCCCATCCAGCTCCGCCTCACCTGGGCCAGCCTCCTCCAGTCCCTCCAGAGAGGAATCACTGTCATCAAGGTTCCCGGCCTGGCTGGGCCCAGCATGGCCGGTGGAAGACAGAGAGGACAGTGAGCTGCATCGGGAGAGGGACAGTGGCCCCTCCTGGGCCACCAGCTTCTGCAGCACCTGGCTAGCCGCAGGCAGTGGAGACGACACCAGTTTCTCTGGGACTTTGCTCAAGCCATCTGCAGGTATCCACGCCTGCTTCCGAGTCCCCGGGGAGGCTCCCGGTCCGGCGAGGGGTCTGATGCCTGTCCCAGTGGCACCATCAAGCAATGGCACATGCTGATAGGTTGGGGATAGCTTGATGGTGCGCACACGGGCATCGGCGGTGGCCGTGTCCCGGGCAGGCAGGTCAGCCCGGCGGGGCAGGTCCAGGTCCAGCCTGCTGGGCCGAGTCTGCCCACGCAAAGGGTCCTCACGGTGCTCAGCCAATGCAGCCAGTGGGCAGGGCCGCATGTGTTCCCGGGGACAGTAGCCATCGCTTGTGCTACCACTGTTCAGACTGTCGTTGGAGAGGCTGGTGTGGGCCGCCTTGAGCCTCAGTAGAGGGTGCGCCCGGTTGCTGGCCTCGCGGCGCCCACCCTCAGTGCCCCGGCATGGAGAGCAAGACTGGGCACGCCCCTCCCTTGGTGCCTCCTGCCCGGGGTCCCCCGAGCTGAGACTGAAGCTGTCATCCGATGAGGTATGCAGGGCAGAGATGTCCTCCACCAGTCGGTCGATCCGAGCCACGGCCAGTGCCAGCTTGGCCTTAGCCTTGGCAGCTACAGCTGCCTCCCCGCCAGCCTCTTTCTCGGCTTCTAGGCCCCCCTGGCGGGCAGGTTGGGTGCGGGCCAGTGCCTGGCCCTGAAGAAAGGGGCCACCAAGGAACATCGACAGCACTGCGGGGCTGGCAGGCTCGGCTGTGGTGGCCGCGGCAGCCAGAGATGGTGCGTCATCGTCATCAAAGCAGCCGGAATCAGAGGCATAGTCCTGCACCAGTCCATCTAGGTGGCGGAGGGGCGGCAGGGCCTTCTTTGACGTGGCCTCTGCCTCAGGCAGACCCTGCTTCTCCAAGTGGCCGAGCGCATGCGCCAGGCGCCGGGTGTCCAGCTCCGCTTCCAGAGCCCTCTGTTTGCGGACATACAGGCTGGGCACGCAGGTTCCTGGGGACACGGCCGTGGCCGCCGCCTGGTACTTGGCAGGTCGGTGAGCCAGCAGGTTCCGCAGGGCGGCAGCACTGCCCATGGCGATCATCTTGTGTTTGGAGTGGACGAGGTTGCGCAGCATGCCCACAGCCCCCAGGTCCCACAGCAGCTCCTGGTCCCGGGGGCTGCGGGCCGACAGGTTCCAGAGTGTGCCACAGGCGTTGCTCACAATGGTCAGGCTGTGGGACGTGAGGTGCTGCAGCAGCGTTTGTAGGCAGTTGTGGTCACGGAGCACCTGCCTGGGAGAGCCCAGAGCAACAGCAAGGTGGGCTTGGGTACCCCAGTCCTGTGGAGCCCACCGTCCGCACCACACTGCCAGTCAGGCCACACCCGCTACCCCAAGATCTCCAGTGCAGCCCCCAGCCCAGCCATACTCACCGTGCTCTGCCACACGCCTCGCCAGCCCTTTGTAGTGAGCCCCTTGGCTCAGCCATGCCCCCCCCGCCACCCACACCCCCACTTCTGCCATGCTGAACGCCCACCAAGTCAGGGTCACCTCTGCCTGCCATGAAGCCAATCCCAACTCTGCCAAACCCTTGGCCTGCCAAGCCTACCCTGCTTGCCATGCCCACCCTCAGAAGAGCAGCCTAGATTTGGTGTATGTCCATCCTTTCGGTTTGAACTTGAGAGATGAGAACGTGGTAGGATCAGCACTCCCACACTGCATGCTGTGTGGCGTTGTTTGGTCTTTGTTTTGTTTGCCTTTGTCTTGAGGTAGGCTCCGAGGAAGCCCAGGTTAACTTTAAGTTCCACAGCTGACGCTGGAATTTAGCTCCCCTGAGCCAGGTTAGGTTCATGGGTGTGTGCCCTGAACCACCACGCCCGGGCTATTTATTTAGCTTTTTTGTTTGTTTTGTTTTCCGAGACAGGGTTTCTCTGTATTGTCTTGGAGGCTGTCCTGGAACTTGCTCTGTAGACCAGGCTGGCCTCGAACTCACAGAGATCTGCCTGCTGCCTCCGCCTCCCGAGTGCCAGGACTAAAGGCGTGGGTGTATGTGGACGAAGTGCCAGTGCCTCATGCGGGCTCCCATGGAACCCTGAGCTGTTCTTCTGTCAACTGGATACAAACCTAGACACATACGCACCACACACACGCACACCACACACACACCACACCACACACACCGCACACACACTATACATATACACACATACACACACCACATACACACACCACACACACACACACTATACATATACACACATACACACACCACATACACACCACACCACACACATAGACACACACACACCCTGGGTGGGGGAGACACTGCCCCCACCAAATTGGCCTGTTGGGAAGTCTGGTGCGCTGTCTACATGAATGACGAGGCCCAGCCACTGTGGGCGGTGCCGCCTCTGGGCTGGTGGTCCCGGTGTGTAAGTAGAGCAGTCTGAGCAAGCCCATAAGCAACACCCCTCCACGGTTCCTGCCTCTGCCCTGGCTTCCCTCACGAACATGAGGGTTAAATAACCCCTCTCACCGTGTTTGCCACAGCAATAGAGCCCTACGACACTGTGTTGCGTCTTGAATGGGAGCCTCTTGGTGCCTGCAGCCCTGCCCTCCCCTAGCCCGCCCTCTGCACAGCCAAGCAGACCACAGCGGAGGCTGACCTGTAGTCCTCTCGGGTGGCAATGAGGCTTGACACGTTGCGTAGGATCCCACCACCACTCTCGATGACTGCCAGGGAGTTCCCTTGGCAACGATAGGTGAGCGTGCTCACCAGGAAACCCAGCGCGCCATCCACTTGGCAAATGGCTGCCTTGTTCTCTGTGCTGTGCGCAGACAGGTTCCACAAGGCACTGAGGACGCTCTTTAGAGTGGACTCCTGGACGGGAGGGAGGGAGGATGCTCAACATGAGGGGTTGCGGCTCACACAGATCTCCCACAAGATCGGCAGTCCAGCCTGGTGGTGCCGGCTGTCATTCTGCACTCTGGAAGTTGAGGCAGGAGGACTGCACGTTTCAGGACAACCTGGAATATCTATAGTATGTTTAAAAAAGTTACAAAAGTAGCTCTATGATAGAGCCCTGCCTAGAATGCCCCAGAGAGGCGCTAGGGCATGGTCAGGCTGCAGCCTGCTTAGAATCCCCCTAGGAGAGACTGGGGTCATGGTGAAGGTGGAGCGCTGCCTAGAATCCCCCAGGGAGGGCCGGGGTCCTCAATGCTGGCATGTGAGCACCACTCCCATCCTCAGCAGTGCGGTTTAGGGCTGCAGTCCTCAGAACTTTAGGTTGGGAGCCGTGGGCTCACTCACGCAGCTTACCTTGTTTTCTTCAGAATCAGGGCACTCAGGCTGCCTGCCTGTCTCCCCACGCTGACTTCCCCTTCCCCGCCAGCCATGCTCACCTTGGAGGCCCGCAGCACACATTCCATGAGGGCAGTCATGCTGCCAACTTCCCGCAGCACCTTCTTGCTGTTGATGTCCGCCCTCCACGACAGATTGCGCAGGATACTGGACACAACCTGGCCGGGGTAGGAGGGGCATTCACAGTGGCCCCAGAGCCCAGGTTCCCTCCTCCCACCAACGCTGACCCTGGAGGGGCATGAACGGGATCGAGTGGGACTAAGGGGCTAAGCCACTCCCACCCCACCCAGGCCCAGGTACCTGGTGCAGCTCCTCACTCTCAGAGGCCAGCTGGGCCACGATGGCTTCCATGCAGCCTCGGCGGGCACACAGAGTGGCCTGTTGGGGTTGACACGGAACAGCTGTCCCCACGGCAGTGACGGCGGGGGACCCCCGCCCTTTCTTTCCCTTCACCCCAGCTGAGGACAGCAATGGCCTGGCAGGGGGAGGCGGCCAACTGTCGTCCTAGCTGGCGTGGGTGTGACCCCGAGAAACTTGCCAGCCCCTGCTGTCCCTGCCCCTCTGTACGCCGGAAATGACTATTCCCACCTCTTAGGGCCACATCCAGGCTGTGCTGAGGTAGGGAAAGCTCCAAGATGGTACCCGAGCCCCACCCATCAGCCTCCCTCCCCGGGAACCTTGTTGGCGACATCTCCAAAGGTGAGGTTGGTGAGGGTCATGCCGGCATAGCGGCGCAGAGCGAGGTTGAGCGGATCCCGCGTCATCTTGTGCATCTCATAATCCACCTGCAGTAGCTCTGCCACAGCCTGCAGCCCCCCTGTAGGAGAGGGAGGGAGGCAGGTGACAGGGAGAGGCCAAGGCTGCCCAGTGGGGCCACCTCTCCACCCCATGTGACCACCTTTCCAGTTCTCTGGTTTGGTTTTTGAGACAGGGTTTCTCTGTGTAGCCCTGGCTGTCCTGGACATGGTTCTGTAGACCAGGCTGGACTCGAACTCACAGAGATCCACCTGCCTCTGCCTCACGTGTGCTGAGATTAAAGGCCAACACCGCCTGGCTTCCGTCCCTGTCCTAATGCCGTCCCCAATGCACAGTGGTCAACCCATCCTCTGTACCATGGCGTCTGGAGGGGTCAGTCAACAGCTATGTAAGGCCTGGGAGGGGGCATGGGGGCTCACCTAGCTCATTCATAGCCCGGCGGTACTCTTCATCGAAGGATAGCTTCATCACTGCACAGGTAGCTTGGCATATCTGAGGTTCGATGGGGACAGGGGCTGTGGACAGGGGTGAGCTTAGAGTCCCATTCCTGGAGTGATATCTCTGGATGATGCCCAAGTTCTCCCTTGCCTCTCCCCACAGTCTCTACTGTTTCAATATGCCATGTCACATGCTGAGTGATGGTGTCCTGTACAAATGTTGCTGCTTACATACCTGCATGGCTTAGACAGGTAAATGGAGCCTGCTGCTGTGCTGGTAGCACAAGCCTGTGACTTCAGCGCCCCTAAGTTAAGGCAGGAAGGTCACAAGTTCAAGACCAGTCTGGATAAATTAGTGACCTTTGCCTTGGAAGAAAAGGACTGGTGGCTTATCCCAGCAATATAGTCTGGAATCCTCCAGTGAGGGACTGGGGGCGTGGTCAGGGTGGAGCCTCGGCCTAGAATCCTCCAGTGAGGGGCTGGGGGCGAGGCAGGGATAGAGAATTTTGCTCCACTGTCTTAAGGTCCCTTGGGCTCAGCTCCCCACAGCTGAGGAGTTGCAAGGCCCTGAGTTCGCAGATCCCGGGTGTGTGCGTGCTGTGTAGCTCTGGACACTCACCACCTCCTGGCCCGCCTTCGGTGCCGCTGTCTCGAGTCTGCAGCCAGTCCCAGCAGGTCTCACAGTAGGCCCGGATCTGCTCCAGCACGTGCAGCACACGCATCTCCTTGCGTGCCAAGCCCTGATCCGGCTGGGAGAAAACGATGTTGTGCATGGCTGCGTTGGCGCGCATGCGTGCATCTTTGGCACCCGGTGCCCCGGGGGTCCCCGCACGCCCCCCAGGCCCGGCCTCAGTGCCATGAAGGATCTGGAGCAACAGTGGCAGACAGCCCGAGCGGCGCATGGCTACACAGCTCTCCGGCGAGCTGGACATGGCCAGCAGTGTGCGCGCTGTGTCCTCCTGGTCCCGTGTTGCCAGCATGGAGAGAAGCCAAAACACCACCTCCACCTGCAGAGGCACGCGGGGTGAGCGCAGGTACGAAGTGGGAGCTGCCCTCCACAATTCCCCTCCAACAAGTGGCCCGTGGGCAGGTAAGAAGTCTAGGCAGGTAAAGGCACTTGCCATCGAATCCAACGACCCAAGTTCCCTTTCCGTGCCCCACGTGATGTAAGGAGAGACCCTGCAAATCCTCCTCTGACCTCGTGTCCATGAAAGCATGACCTCCCCACAAGGCTCCCACACTACGTAGGGCACTTTAATCCCAGCACGCAGGAGGCAGAGGCAGGCAAGCATTTGAGTTCGAGGCCAGCCTCGTCTACACAGCGAGTTCCAGGCCAGCCAGGGCTCCACCGCGGGACTCTGTCTCAGAACCAAGACCTCTAGAGGCCTCACAAGAAGCCTCTGTCCATGGTGGCTCTCCTCCACCAACCGGGATCGCTTGGGGACCCCCACCCTTCTCCACTGGTGGCCCGTTCTCGGATTTCCCCTCTCACCTTGCTGTTTCCAGGGTGAGGGGTGCCATCCTCAGGGTGCGTGGGGACTTCCGGCTCCGGGTCCTCCCCCAGTGCCACAGGTTTCACCGCCAGCAGAGCCTACAGGGAGAGTGAGGCCGGGGCTTCAGTCTGCACAACCCACAGGACACGGACCCCTTCCTGGGCGCAGGGCACGGGGATGTCCCTGAGTTGACGGGCATCTGTCATCACCCCTTCGGCCCTAGCTCTCCTAGTCGTGGTACCTGAGGTTCCGTCTGCTGCACCCGGTCCTGGGCCTCCAACAGCTCCTTGTCAATCTGCTCTAGGCGTGAAGCGCGGATCTGGAGACCAGAGAAAGGGAAGGCAAGCTTGGCAAACCCCGCCCCCGACGGACTCCGCCCCTCACATTGACTCCTCCCAGCTCTGACTCCACCTCCTCGTTCTTGGCTCCTCCCATTCGGTCCGCCCTCCACTCCCTGACACCCGCGTGTGCACCCGGCACCTGTGCGCGCTGCACCATCTCGTCGGAGGTGCCGAAGCGCTCCTCCATCAGCGAGCGGATGTGCTGGGCCTCGAACTCCAGCTGCTGCCGGATCAGATCCATCTGCATTGAGAACTGCTGGGAGGGGGCACAGGCTGCGGTGAGACGCTTCCGGGCCCGGCCTCCCTGCCACACCCACGCCCTCTGAATCCCAGCTCTCCTAGGCTCACCGTGTCAACGTGTGGCAGCTCATCCAAGCGCTTGGACAGGCCCTGCAGCTGAGAGTAATACCACAGCTTCTCCTTCTCCTCTTTCTCGATCTCGCTCAACAGGAAGCATCTGGGGGGACGGGGACGCGGGGTGGGGTCGCCTTATAGGTGGCATTCACAGGGACCCCCACCCCTGCTCCCAGCTCCGAGATGGGCACCGGAAGAAACTGGGAGGAGGGGAGGTAATTGGCAGGGGGGGTAAGGAATCCCTTGGGAGGCTTAGGCAGGAGGATAGTCGAGTTCAAAACAAGGGGTCAGGGAGATGGCTCAGCAGGTAAAGGCGCTTGTGGCCATGTCTGCAGACCCCAGAGTTCCATCCCCCCAAACCCACATGGTAGGCGAGAAAGGGACATCGGCATGTTGTCCTCTGACCTACAAACGCTGGAGCACATACAAGTAAATAGAAGTGAAATGGAAAAAAAGTTTTTTTGTTTTTTGTTTTCGAGACAGGGTTTCTCTGTGTGACGGCCCTAGTCTTCCTGGAACTCTGTAGACCAGGCTGACCTCGAACTCAGAGAGATCCGCCTGCCTCTGCCTCCCAAGTGCTGGGATTAAAGGCCCAGCCAACACCACCACTGCCCCCCTCCCCAGGAGTGAAACTTAAATGTTTTAAACTGGTGAAGCTGTGGGATTGTGAACATGCCATCCTAGCACTTAGGGAGGATCAGGGATTTTGATCAGTCTTGGCAACATGGCAAAGCTGAGGGCTACCTGGGAGCCTTGTCCCCCGCCCCCAGACAGGTTTTCTCTGTGTAACTGTTTGAGCCTTGTCTTAAAATATAACAAGCCGGGCGCTGGTGGTACACACTTTTAATCCCAGCACTCGGGAGGCAGAGGCAGGTGGATCTCTGTGAGTTTGAGGCCAGCCTGGTGTACAGAGTGAGTTCCAGGACAGCCTCCAAAACAATACAGAGAAACCCTGTCTCAAATTTTTTCTCTTTTTTTAAAGAGTTAGTTAGGTGAGTGAGGCCTGGCCATCACCTGAGCCTGCCCCCATGAATCTCTGGTGTCCCCTGACAACCATATACATGCCCTGGTGCTACCCAAAGCAAGAAATGTGGTTGAGGAACCAAAAAGAAAAAAAAAAGCTATCAACAAGACTATCCCATTCTATGGAGCAGAAAACTGAGGCTGGGAAGTCACACTGCAGAGCTGATTTAAGGCCCAGCTATTCTTCTACCGCCCGTCTCCCTGACCTCATGCAACCAGATGGGTTGAGCTGGGTCTCCGGTGCTGCCCGCTCTGCTGGCCCTGGGCCCAGAATTTTTGGGCTTCTGTCCTTCCCATAACAAAGACCTCCTTGAGGGTCTCTGGCATTGGGCCTGACTTTGGATCTGGCTCTGTCTCTAGAGACGCCTGTATGTCTCCGACTTGGGGGAGCGGAACGTCTCTTAGGAGCCTTTCCCCTTGCAGGAAGGTCCCCAGATCTCCAGCTGGGGTCAGCCAGACAGGGATACTATGGAGACAGGAGTGGAAGGCCTAGAGGTGGGTGTGTCTGTGTGGGATGGGGGCCACCAGCCAATGGACCAATCAGAGGGCAGGGGTTCCGGGGGCGGGTCCTTTCCCACGCCCTCTCACCGCTCCTGGTCCAGTTCTTCCAGCAAGCGGATGGTGGCGCGGCTCAGTTCCCCGAAACTGTCCTTGGTTGGGCCAGAGCCGTGCACTGGGCTTCCCTCTGGTGTCCGGGCGGCAGGCTCCGGGCCCAGGGCTGGGGGCTGGAACTTTAGGTTGTAGAGGCTACTGATGTCAGTCTGCAGAGCTGGAGGGAGGGGCGTCAGGGTGAAGGTCAGCAGCCTGCCCCTGCTATGTCCGCGCTGGTCGTGGGGCTGTCCTTAAGTCACTTACCTTTCAGTTGTTCTAACACTTCTGTCTGCCCGGAGGACACCAGCACGCACGCCTCCTGCTCCAGTTTGCCCTGAAGGTGTTTCAGGACCTCCTGTGGGCACGGCAGGAAATAGGGCTGTCCATCACGGCTGCCCAGGCCCCCCCCGGGACCTTTCTCAGCCCTCTCTAGAGAGGAGCGCCATGCAGACCCTCACCTTCATGCCGGAAGTCTCTGTCTCCAGTTTGGAGAGGTGGCTGGAGTTATCTCGGAGCTCCTGCCTTAAGTTTGTGTTCTCAGCCTTCAAGGCTTCCACCTGCCGTACCAGCTGCTCGTAAGAGGCCATGGAGCTGGTCATCTTCAACTCCTGCAGTGCCTGGAGCCAAGGGGTCAAAAGAATGGGAGCTGGCGCCCCTTCAGAAAGCCCTCACCCGTCCTCGGTGCGCACGCCAAGCAGGAATGGCTGTCTGCTGTGAACCAGTGAGCTGGGAGCCCGCATTTGAGACAGACGTAGAGACGGGAGCCCTTAGAGGGCTGTTTGATGGATAAAAGGCTAACTGGTAGGTGGACAGACAGACTCACGGACACCTGCACTGACAGCCAGAGGGACACACATCTGTCACCCTGGCAATCCAAGTCAGCAGGTGGATGGGCCACCTGGAGGCCGCCAGGCTCACAGACTGACACAGGAGAAGCTGACGGACAGACAGACAGACAGACGGAACCAATCCCCCACCAAAGCACAGATTGCCGGGGCTGGCAGACTGCCTGGGGAGGATGGGTCATTAGCTCACCCAGAACACTGTGAAGCCCAAGGAGCCCTGGCTGGGGCTATGAGCAGGAGAAAAGAGGACCAGTGGGGAAGACCCAAACTCACCACGATGGTCACAGGGCTTTGAGTCCTGGACCGGGACGTCCCGAAGCCCCACCTCCCTCCATTCATGCCAGGGTCCCCAGTGGTTCCGTGCATGGCTCAGCGGCCTCTGGCTGGGCTGCCGGGCTGGCTCCAGCTTGGTCACAGCCCGGCTCTTTGTGCTCCTGCCTGTCCTCTCTCGTGTCCAGCCTCCTCCCTCTGTGCGGCTGGCCTCTTCCCTCAGGCTGGCACTCCCTCCACAGCCATCCTGAACCCCCACGCCCCCCTCCGTCTTTGTTCCCTTCCATCTGCGAGAGCCCCCTCCCTCCGCCTTTGTCTGAGGCCCACCAATAGCATCTCGTCCCTTCTGCTGCCTCCCCCTCCTCGGGAGCCCCCTCTCCTTGCCAGCCTTGAGGCCCCATGTCATCATCAACCACATTTCCACCTAGCTTGGGTGACACCTGCTCCTCTGCCCCCCCTGCATCATCTAATGCTCCTTTCTTTCTCTGTGTCCTGCCCAGCCTGATGTCACCGCAGCCTCCCATCATCCCACCCTGAATGGAGGACCTGCTCTGGGCTAGCTATGCCTTATGGCTTCTTCCTACACCAAAATCTCAGCTGTTCCTAGAAGAGAGAAACTGAGGCTGGGGGTGGGGGAGCAGGAGGGGAGGAAGGCAGGTGTAATCAGAACTCAGACCCTAACTTGGGAGATGCTTAGCAGTCCAGGTAGTTAGCTGCCCCCTGGGGCACACACCTGCCTTCCCAGCACTCAGGAGGTAGAGGCAGGCGGATCTCTGTGAGTTGGAGACCAGTCTGGTCTACACAGTGAGTTCCAGGACAGCCAGGGCTACACAGAGAAATCCTGTCTCAAAAAAATAAACAAAACAAAAAATAATTCAAGGCTAGCCTGGGCTACATATTGAGATCATAGCTAGTCTAGGCTACATAAGAATGTTTCAAATAATCAAACAGTAAAACAAAACAGACCTGTCCTCTCTCTGTGCCTCAGTTGTCCCTCTGAAGAGTGGGGACAATGTGTTCCTGGCTGCCCCAAAGGGCTGATGGGGGTTCCCAAGGCAGAAATGGCTTCACCTTGACGATAATCCTCCCCAAGGATCGAGCGAGGCTCATATTGATCTAGCCGTGGGCTGGGTTGAAGGCACCATGGCGTGCCCTGCCAGGAGGAGTAGATGAGGCGTGGCAGGAACACAGCCCCACGTCCACCCATTCAGATGTTCACGATCCACACGTGACGGTGGGTCACCGCCAAGCTCAATGTAGTTAGTTATCCTAGCTCCACAGGGTACCAGCCCTCCAAACTGGCATCTGAATCCACCCCACCCTTCCCCGGAGACCTCCACACCCCCCACCAGGCCCCGTCACCCTCCTGCCTGCTACTGAAGACCCAACCCTCCAGAGGACACTACTAGGCTCACAGTTGGAGTCCATCCTTGTGAGTGTGCAGACACTTCCCATGGCTCCCTAGTGCCTGGGGATGACCACTGAGGCACGGGCCCCCTGGGAATGGACATGCACCAGGCCAGCTTTCCTGACTCCTGTGGCCCCATACCCTACATAATCCTACAGTCTCTAACCCCAAGGCTCCACCAAGGGCCACCTTGGCAGATGACAGAGGTCAAAACAGCAGTAACTGGATGTGAGCCTACTAAGAGTGATTCAGAGGGGGGAGTCACGACAGCTGGCGGGGGTGGGGCTCAACTCTGAATTCCTGTCATCAGGACCCCTTTACAGAGAGGAAAAGAAACAGACCAGCAACACACAGCAACTCCCCAGAGACGCACACCATCCTGCTCTCCAAATCTCTGTCTCCCAAGGATCCGGGTGTGAGTGTGTGTGTGTGTGTGTGTGTGTGTGTGTGTGTTTGAGAGAGAAAGAGACAGAGAGACAGAGAGAGACAGAGACAGAGAGGGGATACGACCAACCGTAGTGACTCAGATGCCTGCCTCATCTGGACTCAGTTTCCCCTCAGCTCCTATTCTGCGTTTGAGCCTGAACTGACAGGGCGCGGCAGGTCTCGCCCCTGCCCTCCGCCCAAGGGAAGACGCACGCACTCTTACTTGCATCTGTGAGACCCAGGGCCTCCTTCCTCCTTTCGGGTAGGCCTGCAACCCAGACCTGGTGGTGTGTCTAGGTCTCCGGGGGGTCTCAGCGGCACGGGTAAAGGGGGGTGTTCCGGAGGGACAAAGCCCAATCCCTGCTTGGTCAGGCGGCGCTGCTGCTCCCGGCGCTGGGCGAGACCACCGCAAGCGCGGGGGAGGATGCGGGATGAAGGCGCTTGGGCCAATGGCGGTGCGGGAAGACGAGCTGGTGCCATGGCAACAGCCAATAGCAACCTGGGGCGGGGACCCGTGCGGACCGCGGGGCGTCTGACCTCCTCTGGGGTTCAGGGGCTAATGGGGTGGTGGCACTGGGATTGGCAAACCCCTTACCGAGAGAAAAAGGGGGCGTCCTGAAACCAAGATTCCAGGCAAAGCATCGAAATGATAATTATGACACCAAAATCTTGGGGGAGAGGGACCACTCAACTCACCCGCCAGGTTTGGAGGTGTCAAGACAGGAGGGGCTTGGTACAAGCAAAACCAGAGTAGCCTGCGGTCCTCAGTGGCCTGGGACTTGGAAGACGGGGAGCTGGGCAGGCACTCCTGGGAAAGATTGGCAACCCCACCCCCATGCCACCACCTGGCAGAGGATCAGGACCAGGGCCTGCCTATCATTCCCTGTGACAGTCCCTCCCGTGTCTCTGTTCCTGTTTCTGTCTCCCCCTCCGTCTCTCTCCATCTCTGACTCCCTGGTGCCCAAAGGGATGGCCCTTGGGCGTTTAGCCTGAAGAGCCTGGGGCTGGAGAGATGGCTCAGTAGCTAACAGTGCAGAGTGCTCTCCTGTGAACACAAGTTTGGGTCCCAACATTCAGGTCCAATGGCTCACAGCTGCCTGAACTCCAGTTCCCACACCTTCAGCGACTGCCAGCACCTGCATCATGAGCGCGCTCGCGCGCGCGCACACACACACACACACACACACACACACACACGCCCAGGTCTACACTTTCTGCCAACTCCACTCACGGGACAGTCAAAGTGTTAGTGCTGGGAGAGGTGGCTGTGGCCTACTGTGGTAGTTCCCATCTGGGGAACCCAGAAAAGCCATAGCACTCTCGCCCTCTGTAGGTGTAGAGGAATCACAGGGGATGCCAGGCCAGGCAGGAGAGCCCCTCACCCCAGTATTTCAAGGCCATAGCCGTCAAGGGCACCGGGACACTACGGCTTCCCGCAGAAGGCTCCTTCAGGACCTGCAGCTGCAGTGACTGAGCCCTCCAGCTGGACCGTGGCATGCAGAGTTGGACACAGCTGTCCTTCCTGCTGGGGAGGAGGTGGCAGAGGGGTCCTGGCTGGAGGTGGGGAAGGCTGCTCTTCACGCCTGCCAACCCCGCATGAAGCTGAGGCAGGAAGACTGCATGGCACTTGAGGCCGGCCTGTGCTGAGGTGAGACCTTGTCTCAAAAATAACAGCGTAAAGCGGGGTGTGGCATGGAGCACCAGCCAGCCTGAGGATGGGGGGGACAGAGGATGGGGGGACAGGGACGGGGGACCAGGGGATGGAGGGCGGGACGTGCCGGGCACCAAGAAATGAGTGGGGCTTGGCATGGCGGATGTCTGGGGTGGGCTTCAGCCAGAGCAAGCCATGAAGGCTGGGAAAGCTGGGAGCGTCCTCACAACTCAGTTCAGAGTTGAGGTGGGACACAAAACACAGCCTCTCATCTTCAGATGTTGTCACCTCCCTGGGTGACCTTGGGGCTATCTGTCTCTGGCCTTGGTGTCCAGCTTGGCTGGTAGTCCTAATAGAGTCAGTCCAGTTGACTGTTTCCTCCAGGTCCTCTCACGGAAGGGCTGGTGAGGGGAAGGGAAGACTGACCACTCCCACATGGAGAAACTGAGGCGTGGGCTGGGAAACACACTGCTTCAGTTCACACCTGAGCCCCAGCCGGGCCTCTGGAGAGGCCCAGCTTCCTCCTCCCCTCTCTCCTCAAGAACCAGGGGCCCTGACCAAGTGACGCAGGACCCTGCACCTGCTACATGGTGCCTGGGCCTCCCGGCTCCGGGATACTCCAAGCTTCCTAACGGGTGCAATGCACCCTGGGACCCCTATTCGTGACACTGCAGAGGTCACTGGACCTCCGGAGTCTGATGGCTGCCAGCATCCCTCCCTCAGGATCCCACCAGTCCACACCCCGAATTGCGCCCCACTGGGTGTGGAGGGGCCTCGAGGCAGTGGCGTGACCACATGGTCATCACTTGGGTACAGTTGTGTGCTGGGTGAGGAGGCACAGCGATGACTGGGACATGGCTGGTGTGGGAGCACAGCCACGAACCTCAGTTTCCCCAGAGGGAGCAGGCCCACCGTGCAGCCCCTCCCGAGACCCCCAGCACAGAAGCTCTTCTTTGGTCCAGTCACATGACCTTGGGCAGCTTAGTTATGCTCCAGCCTCAGGAATGTCAGAGGCAGTGGACTCTGTAATGTCCAAAGGGAAGCTGAGGCCTAGCAGGGCATGCAGGGCGTGGTCAGGCCCAGCATCCTGAGGTGGCCCTAAGCTCTAAGCTTGGTGTACCCCAGTTGCAGCCCTCTGTCCCCCAACAGCCAGTCTCTAGAGAGGAGGGTCTCCCACAGAGGATGCTCCTGCAAGGGAGACCTGCGCCTGCGCAGGACGGGGGAGGGGTCGCTGCAGCACAGGAGTGGAGCCCAGCCCCAAGCACTTGCCCAGGCGGTTTCCTTGGCAACTGTCTCCAGAACAACTATGAAAGACCCCTGACCCACCAAGAAGACTTGCTGCAGCCTGAGTGTCCTCGTGTCGTCCCCGGTGCCGCGGGTCGCAGTCAGGACCCCACCTGGTTGCACCCACACCCTGATCCCCAGCTAGGACTCCCGGTACCCTACCTGGTCCCCGAAGAAGGCCGAGTGCAGGAGGCTTAGGAGCCCCCAGAGCCCCATGGAGCCGCAGCTGCTGGACAGCGCGGGCCCCGCCCTCGGCCGCAGGGATGGAGGAGGGGACCAGGAGTATTGCGCCTGCGCACAGTCGTGGTAGGGGTTGTCACTCCAATGGGGAGGGGTGACCCGGGACTTTGAGGATGGAAGACGGGGATCCTCCTTGAGCACAGCGACCAAACGCATCTCTGATGGGTCTGGGGACCCTAAGGATTGGAAGCGGTCCAAGGAGCTCACATTAGAAAGGAGGGGGCGCCGGGCGTTGGTGGTGCACGCCTTTAATCCCAGCACTTGGGAGGCAGAGGCAGGCGGATCTCTGTGAGTTCGAGGCCAGCCTGGTCTACAAGAGCTAGTTCCAGGACAGCCTCCAAAGCCACAGAGAAACCCTGTCTCGAAAAACCAAAAAAATAAGAAAGGAGGGGGCATTTAGAGCCGAGGTGTGTGCGAGCTAGAAGCGCCACCCTGTGGCGGGGTCACCGTGTGCCCCGCATGTGAATAGTCGCCGGATGCGCCCAGCGCCCAAGATTCAACAAACATTTGCTGGGAGCCAGCCTGAGAGCTTCGCCAAGGGCATGCAGGGGCCAGCTGGATGGGACACTGTCAGAGATGCTGAGCCCATCATGTAATCAGAACTCATACTCGGGCCGACCTGGTGCAATGACACTGCTCTACACCCTCGGACTTCGGCTGCTTAGCAATAAACAAAAGTCAAGAGCATGTACGGCAGTGGCAGGCAGGCTTTCAATCCCAGCACTCAGGAGGAAGGGGGTGGATCTCTCTGAGTTTGAGGCCAGCCTGGGCTACACAGTGAGCTGTCTCCAAAAACAAAAAAACCTGGAAGGTCAGCTGGGCGTTGGTGGCGAACGCCTTTAATCCCAGCACAAGGGAGGCAGAGGCAAGCGATTTATCTGTTGAGTTCAAGGCCAGCCTGGTCTACCAAGCCAGTTTCAGGACAGCCTCCAAGACAATACAGATAAACCCTGTCTCGAAAAACAAAACAAACAAAACAAAAAAACCTTGAAGGTCAGACGTAGTGGTACATTTGGAGACTGAGGCAGAGCGGACTTCTGCTCCAGGTGCCGGGAGCGTGCTTAGCAGGGAGTTTTAGAAGGCAGCGTGTGGAGCAGTTAACGCCCAGGGACTGAGGAGAGCAGAGTGGGAGAGCAGGGGACGTCAGACAGATGGGAAAAGGGCACACAGAGAGGAACTGTAACGACTGGACCCGCCCCTGCCCCGCATGCGCATGGGGAGGGAGGTGGGGCAGCCCAAGGCAAGGGAGAAGCAGTGCGAGCCAGGGGAAAGGCAGCGGGCATCCAGCAGACCG